AAAAATTACAATCTCGTACGTTTCGACTGAATTCCAGTCATCTTCAATATTTCCATAAAATGGAAAATTCCATAAAATGTAAAATTTCTTTCATTATGTTGAACTAATTTCCTATTAAGCTAATTACGTAGCCTTAAGCTCTTGTATAGCAGTCTGATTTTTGTTTTTAATAATACATATCTACATTATTTCCTCACTTCAAAAGTAACACAATTAAAAAAATATAACTTTCAAGTTATTATCATGAATGAGTTTATTATTCTATCAATCAACAAAAGTGGACTAATTTCAGTTCGTAAAAGCTCGAACAACTAAAAAAAGGTTTAAATTTATTTATTAACAAGAGTCCTTTATACATAATTTTAAAAAAAGGTGATTTTTAAAAATCGTTAAAATTATTGCAACTAAAAACAGAGGATTTTAAGGATTGTAAAAACGATATTTGATCACGTTAAGAATATTCTTTTCGTTGATATTATTTAAAAGAGAGATTATTTAATAACTTTCTATTAAATTAAAAAAACCCATATTTTTCTCCTTTTTTGAGAAATTTAATTTTTTGAATTATGTCACTTTTGAAGTAAGGATATATGACATGTTCATTGCATTCTTAATGTTGCTGAATATTCAACAGAGTTTCTCAGAGTTTCTCGGGATACTGAGATATTTATATATTTATAACAGAAAGTATCGCCGCATCTTTAAATCGTATACGTATATCAGATGGTGGGCGTATAGGCATAAATCATCCCACGCACATGAATAAAACCACCCGCTTTCCCGAGATAGTCGCGAAATCGCAAATGCGAAAAAGCAACATGAATGATTCTTTGTGAGAGGATCCGTTTTAATTGAAAGCGGCACGTCGTGTAAAAGGAGCTAAAGAAGAAAGAGGATGGTAGAGTGACGGAGATTCTGCCGTGCGCACTTTCGACGATAATTTCGCGGAATTTGCAACGAGTCGTCCCCGTTGAATCTCGCGCAGAGAGAAACGGCCAGATTTGCTGTGGTACACTGTCACCGTAATCCCGAAATTGGTAGCGCCGAGGCATCGTCGCCTACAGAATAGGGCTCTCCTGCCTCTTGATTTTCCTCGGATGAGATCCAAGCCTGTGAAACATGCGACGTGTTCTGAGAATCCCATGCATTAAAATTGCGCGTGATGTCCTGTGAGCTCTCGTAAAAAACGATCCCGTGTCAGATAGAGGAAAGGCATTAAGTGGATCAAGGAGTGCATTACCATGTATAATTCTCGTATTAGTTAAATAAAAATGAAGTACGGAAATCGTTTAATCAGTTTGACGTACCAAAAGAAAGCGCATATCATTAATTTTCCGATTTTCAAAATTATTCCTCCCGAAGATAAATTTTTATACGTCTTATTCTTATTTCTTTATTTTATGATATTTTTTTGTACGAGAGATTTACCTCGTGAATACACGAAAATGATAATAATAATAATAAAAATATTGAAGAAAACAATTTTTTAAACGTAAAAAAGTGAATAATTTTGTTAAAATTAATTGCGAATGTGTTTCAATTATCACTATATTTCACCATCGCATGCTAATTAAGAAAAGTAGGATTAATGCCTTTATTACGTATATGACGTAATTAAAGTCAAGTATGTTTTAATTAGATTTAGATGACAAGACAAAGGCGGACAGAATAATCGCTTTCTTCTTTTCCTTAATGGCCCCATTAATAAATCTGAGTTGGAAGATAAACGGCGAAGCGCGCGAGCTTAGCTCGAGCAAATTCGGTCGTTTGATGTCGTCCAGCAAGCATCCATATTCGAGTTACGATTTACAAGCTTAATATCGCACCGTAATCAGTCTTATGAAGTGCTGGTGTGCAGTCCCGTGTGTGTTTGTTAAGTGTTGTATACTTAGATAGCGTACCCCGACGGTCATAATAATTGTCCTCTTCTGCGGACGTAACGCGAATTATTTCGAAATCAGACTAATGGAACTTGTGTGTATTATAACAGATTCACGCTAACTCTATCCAAAGCTCTTTTAAGTGAAACACAAACATTATTCTCTTCCATTTCGAGATTGCTCTGTTAAGAAAGAAAGAGGATCGAAGAATCGATGAACACTTTAATAAATTAACGCTTTAATAATCCGCGCTTTTCGGAGATCGTATAGAGTTAATAAAACAGCAGTGTACTTTAACACATGTGTGTTTTAATAATCATGAATTTGAAAGCACTCAAGGATCTGCTAATTGAAATGCCATTCTCCGAGATCAATCTCGTGCACAAATCACCTCTTAACGGACGATCCTAAGCGCGTTGTATTAATTCATGTTGCAAGTTGCTTCCGCGATATTCTGTTCCAGTTTACACTCAAGTTCATGCAATAATAACACCCAAGTTTGTACCATAAATTGTATGAATTTCAATCACCATCGTATTCAACATTCGCATTAGCTAGTGTTTGGAATTTCACAGCTGGTAAGCTTGCTCATGCTCGTCTCATACAATTAGAAATTCTGAATTTGGAATTTCTAATTACAACCAGATAACCATTGGCGCTAAATAAGGGAGAGAAAGGGAGACAGGTTGCTCGCGCGATTAGTCGACCCTTAACTTATGTATAGAAAGATAGCTTCGAAGAGTTGGCGAGTGTTGCGTAACTCTCTAAAGCAGTTGGAGGGATCGTTTTTTGTTGGAAAGGTTGTTACAGAGAGAGAGAGAGAGAGAGAGAGAGAGAGAGTACGTTCGTCTCCCGAAGTTCGCGAACTGCAGGTACGTCCTTCCTGGACTTACCGCTTCGGTAATTCGTGCAAATCGCCTTTTGCCAGAAAGGAAACTGCACTTTACTGCTCATAGCACTAATAGCTTATGTAACTCCCTATATAGGAGGGTTAAGAGCGTGGTTCCTCCTTTCTCCCTCACATCCTTTCTCCCTCACATCCTTTCTCTTTTTATTTGTCATCCACACAAGATGGAACGCGGTGCAAAACGGGGTAAAACGGAAGCGACAAATAAGTCCGTTCTGGAGCGCGAATGAAACAGTCGGGACACGCGAACGGGAAATTAGCTTTGTTGCAGGGGACGAACTTTAACTCACTTTATTCGCTATTATTCTCCCTCGCTGTTCGCGCTGCGGCGGATTTTGCGGCGTTTCTCATCGCGATGTGCCCGCGACCTTTCCTTTACTTCAGCACGTTTCTCGAATATCGTATGAAAGCACAAATGAATGAGACTAGGTGCGGCACATTTATAATCCGTTATCGGCCTTAAGAATGCAGTAGGCGATCGTAATAATACACTACTGTATCGTAATAATACGCTACGGAGTATCGTGCTTACAGGCGTCCGTCCAACATATCGCAGACTGGTCATTAAATATTATATCGTTACGAGTTTCATTGTATTATGTAAAGTATTCCGTCTTCATTAACATCGATCGTCCTTCCTCAGCGGACGGCAGGAGTTGAATAATTTATGAGCTGTAAGCAATTGAAAGATTTAAATTTACAGATATCACACAAATATTGTAGGTTAGCACACATAACGAGATTATTTTAACAGAATTGTAATTTGTAAGTAAAGAGAGCGCGGTTTACACGACACTTTTCTTTATCGGCCACAGACATGCCATTCTGCTAATGGCTTGTAAAAAAAAGCGTCGTGTACATATTTTAAGATGCCGGTAAACTAACTTGCTTTTTTATGTCGCCTAGCCACGTTAGCGAGCTAAAATATTCCAACCTGATAGCGCCACGGTAGTTTTTACCACCGCAAGAAGTATCGTGTAAGTTGTATGTAGTTGACTTTTTAGCAATTCGTGGACAGATTGTAGGATAGTCGCGAAGGTCGGTATTTACCGAACTATATTATCATGTTTGCTTCCGACAAGCTGCAGTGAACTCGCAAAATGGCATCCAACAGATACGAGATGCAAAAATTATTAAAATAAAAATTATTTTATCCACAGTAATTTATTTGCCCTACTCGCGATATGTACTTTTTTTCTGAGTAGATGTATTTTTGATAAATGTTTATGTTAGCATTGGAAAAAAAAAACGAATAAAACATAAATATTTTATTTGAAGGTAAATACGAGATATTTAGCATGTGTCTGTTTAACAAAATTTTTATTATACAACGCTGTGACTACAATGCTGCTTTCTATCGCGAATCATTTCTTTCTGGCTTTAAACGCGCTGTAATAAAGTAGTATAAACATATGGTCTTTGATTATAATCCCAGAATAAACAAATAGATTTTGTTGAATAGAATAAATCGAAGTCTGTGTGTTTGAACAGCGAGAATGCCTAGATATCTCCGTTCTATTTATCTGTGCATAACAAACATGTATATTTTGAATATAAACTTAGAGAGCACAATGCTGTGGAAGCAGTTGGTAACATAAATAAAGCATTTGAAGGGAGATACTCTTAAATAACAGATAACATGGAATACCATTGAGAAATTCCACGTATTCCGCCGGAGTAGTGCCTTTTGAAAATAAGTACGATTAGCTTTGTCTGAAACAATCTCCGCGAGTGCTGGAAGTAATTGCGAAGAAGCGACATTATCTATATTTAATTTAAGAGATCTTATTTTCGGAAATATTAAGCTAGCAATAAAAAGTTAAAACGATAAGTATCGAAGAACGTTTAAGGAAAAGAGAATAAAAATATTTAAAGCCCCGGGATACGAAAGTATTTCGAAGAATCGTAAGGAATTTTACAAACTCAAGAGATGACTCGCGAGAACTTTGACATTTCGAAAGTCTCCATTTATCCAAAGTGTCGCGTAGATCGAGGTCAGTTTTTGACAGATGCGATTTCTGCCGGATCGCATTCGGCATCAGAGAGAGAGAGAGAGAGAGACGGGAAGAGACGCGATCTTCCGCCCGTTGCTCTCTCGCCGCGCGGCTCTGATTTTATTTACGCGTGTTCGGTTCCCTGCGCCGTCCCATCGCATCGGCGCCAATTCACAGGCCAGCGGCGCGTGAATGAACGAGCGAAATGATTTGTTGCAGGTGGTGCGAGCGGCCAGCCCGGTTTTGTTGCGCGTGATTGTCCTGGGCGCCTTCTTCATATACTGCACGGTAAGTACAGAAGCCTTTCGCCTCCGTCTCGCCTCGCAGCCTCACTTCATCTCACCTCACCTCCCGCCTCGCATTTTCCCGGAGTGTTTCATATTCATGAGGGTCGTAGCGTCGCCGTCCGATAACAAAGCCTTCTCACGCCCGTACTACCGGGAGCACCGGGCACAGAAGCCGTTCTCCTCTCCACCGCAGCATCCTGCCGGCTGTAACCGCATCTGTCGAGGCGACTGCGCCCCTAATGTATGCATGCGCGCCCCATGCACCAATTATGATAACGCATAATTCGCGGTATCGTCGCGCGCATCGGTCGCAAACACCGTGTATTCAGCAACTATTAATGGCCTTCATGCTTTGCTAATTAAAGTGAACGTACCGTCCGGTTGAAGAGACACATACCTACGTATACATGGGTATACCTCTCGGTCCATGAATTCTCGCGAGAAATTGTGATCCATCGGCTTCCTATCTGGACGGTAATTATACGTCTTCTCTCGCGATTCCGTAACTTTCCAAATATCCCGGGAGTTATGAAGTCACGTTATCTATGTGTTAAACTGGAGATCTTTCCAATTAAGCCGTTAATCAGATTTCACTCACAGAGTTCTCATAGTGATTGGAAGCGGCGCGACGTGGCGTGGCGCTTCCCGAGTCTCGTTGCGAAGGGATGACGCTTGTTATTATTCATCATTATGCTTATTATACGCGGATTATTATCGGATGATGCATGCTCTTCTACAGCGCGCTGAAAGCTCACCCTCTCTTGTTGTCGCAAGCACATAGATCACGTAGCAGCGTAAAATAATTCCAGACATCGTATTCTGAGTTGTTCCGAGTTTTGACCTGTAGTGACGGCTGCTGTGACACGTATTCCGCGCACGTTCTTACGTGATATATCGGGCTGATAGCAGAATTTCTATCACATTTCGCAAACCTGCTTTATCGAATCCGAAACGGATCCCGTCGACGAGAAGTCATTTGTATAAACGTAAACTCTAGGGATCTCCCGCAAATGCACGATCTACGCTCGCCTTTCGACGGAACGACCTGGGATATCCGTTTAAGTCAAAGCGAGCAGCAATCCTCGAAATGCTTAATTAACGATTCATGAGACATTTAATTTAGCTCGATAATTCCCACCACGTTGCGTTGTAAACGATTACACCATTATAGAATATATCTCACGTAATAATTGAGATACTTTTGTTGGAGTTATACACCGCGCTGAAGAACGCAATCATTTTATTTCAAAAGCGAAAAAATCACAACTAAATTCGTTCTTGCAACGTAAATGAATTTTTTACATTCACCGCTATGTTCGTTTCAGATTTCTTTTCCTCGTACAAAAAGATTTCTTGAAAAGATTTTTTTTAAATATTTTTAAAAGAATTTTGAAGCAGAAGATATAATTATAAAATGTTTCTAGAGATTTCCTTACAACATCGTTATACGAAATAAACAATATCGCTCCCTTACTTCGAAAAGTGACACAACTGAAAAGAATACAATTTTCGAATTATTATATAGTATAAATGAGTTAGACAAACATTAGTTGCTTTCCATTTACACACCAATGAAACTAAGTCTGACGTGAACTGAGTACGAAATACTCACAGATTAATGACATCACTACTTGCTTACTTTGGTAAAATTAACAAATAACAACACAGGTTCATAATCTCACTTTTAAAGTGAGTCTACAAGACTCAGTAAAGCACACGGTCTCGATCTTGTGCAGTTTGTAGGTAAAAACTCAGTTGAATCTCAGAATGCAAAAGGAACGCGCGTTCAACTGAGTTATGACGTCACAAGTGAGAATTATCTGAGAATCGGTGTAAATGGAAAGCAACTTCTATTATTATCTTCAATCACATTAAAAGTAAACTATGAATATAACTTAACGTTATAAAAACTTATTAAAATCATCACAATTCAAAAAGAATACTTTTTCTAGGGTTGCGAAATGAAAATGACATTTGATTATATTAGGAATATTCTTTTTGTAGATGTTATCTCATTAATCTCAATAATTTGCTGTCAAGTTAAAAAATAATTTTACTTCTTTTCTGAGAAACTTAATTTTTTGAAAAGTTTGTCATTTTTGAAACAAGAGAGCGATATTGTTTACTTCTTATTATTAATAATCGTATATACGTAATATTATATAATATTACATAAATCAGTGCTTCATCAATTCAAACGTATCGAGATAAGAACTGTTTTGTGTGAACGTGTACACGTTTTACTGTAAAACTATTAAACGATAAACTTTTAACTGTAGTAATTAAACGGAAACTGGCACAGGCATTCGCTGTTTACGGGGGATGTTTGTGCAGGAAAGTAGTTATGTGACACTCACTTACACTAAAGTTGTGTACAAAATACAGTCTCCAGGAATTGTAGAATTTACTACGAAAGTTTAGCTGAAGTGACAACAAGTATGTTCCTAGTCAGTTCTGTAGTGGTATTCGGATCAACAAAAATTAAACCTATATAGTTGACGCAGTCTGCTTGGAGAGGACGGTAAGCGGAAACGTGCAAATTCTCGTAAAGTATAATAACATTCTTTCCCACGATATCTAAACGTATAATATACTTAAACGCGCGCACAGATGCTCGCAGACGGATTTGCGCGAGTATCATGACGCGGACGCCACGTGTAAGCGTCGTGCAACGTGACTCTCTCCGTCGGAATGACGACGACGACGTGATTTTTCTTCCGCTGGAGTAATGGCACGGCCGTGAAGGGGTTAGTATCAAGGTGCGCAGCAGACATTTCGAATGCTCCAACTTGGTAGCTCCTTCGAGATGGAAACGTGCCTACGTATATAATGTTTGCTCTTACGAGGTACGAACTCCCGGATGGCTTCGCTTAAATTCAGAGTACTATCCTTAATGGGACGTCATTTGGCCGCTTATGGGAGGTACTGCCTTCCGTTTCTCACTAAACTTCGGTATTATATCTCGCCGAGAGCGAGAACCGCTGGTATAAATTGCGCGATACAGCTTGGAAAGTCGGTCGGAAACCACCGTCGAATTTTGCGGTGCGTGCGCGAGCCGTCTGTAATTTCTCCTTGTTCTCACTTCCGTCTTATTAAGATAGAATTCTGTTTCGTGTAATTTTATAATATTTCCGGGAATTTGAGCTTAACTTTCAAACGTGAAAGAAAAAATTACGGCTTGCTTGCTCTACGAGAGGGGAATTTATTACACTTTTTATCATGCGCGTATACCTTTTTTTTTTTAGTTTTCATTATACAAACGTATTTTTAATAAACGCAAGTATATGTAACAAAATATATTATATTTATATAAAAACTGCCCTCATATGCTCTGTTATTATTAATATATTTATTATACATTTTAACAATTTTTCTCTGCTATTCTATTTTTCTCTGCGATAATCATTAGTTTCCGAGAATTCTAACATGTCTATGAATCCGTGGTAGAGTCTGGAAGTTTATGCGATGTCAGAGCGTTGTGTTACACAAAAGAAAAATCGCTCCAAAGTGCTCGTTCAGCAAGAATTCTGCTTTCTTTTTTCGCTCTATATTCTTTTCCCGTATACTTTTCGTAGCGGATTTTTCAATATTATTCAAATGTTATTTTTACGAATGTTTTTTTTTTATATTATTGATAACCACAAAACATTCTTATTATTATCTTGAAATAATTTTAGTTAGAGTAAACAAAAAAGAACATTTTCATTACTTTTTTTTCATTTGATTCATCATTTTGGAGAACATAAATAAAAAATTAGCGTTCAAAAATTCGATAAACAGCAAAATAGACGTTTATAAATTGATGTATTGAGGTAGACATTAAATGTGTGATAATATTTTAATAAATACGGCTATATATTTTGCTTTTCTATCGTAATACGCATCTCGATATATCATAATATATCATTTTCGTATTTGCTATGTTAAACATGAATTATTTAGATATTAGTTAATGGGATAAATTTCATCGTTATAAATACCCATCCGATATATCCTCTATCCATACATAAATAATATACGCGCATAGACGGTGATTCGATGAGTGTTTTCGCCACAGTTTCAAAGGCGTGTATCTAAAGTGCTTTAAATATTACATTCTAATTACGTAATTACATATGCTGGATAGCGTCAACGCTATAACGAGGTAATTTGTCGAAATGATGTTGTTAAAATTTACACGATTAATAGAAATGGGACGAATACTCGGTGCACAGATGTGTAAAGTGTAACACGCATAATTGTTGGAAATTGCTCACGCGGTATATCACTTTACAAAATATGGCATTGCTTGTTGCAGACTATAGTTATGTATCCCAGGCCAAACATCATCACGTGCACCGTGCGCGTATGGCTACGAGAAATTGGCTTTTCTCTCACATATGGGGCACTTATGCTCAAAACGTGGCGGTAAGTGTGCTTCACTTCTTGATGACGTTATATGTTGCTCGTTTCGTGACTATTTTTCTTATTCGTCAACGAAAGCGTCGTTTCTTTTCTTTTACCATATATTGTTGATGATAATTGTATAATTATATTTATTCTTTTTAATAACTCTAATATAGAGAAACATGGCAATGAGCCAATAAATTACGTTAAAAATCTTTTTAAATTAATTTAATATATTGCGAAGAATATCATGTAATTATGGCGTTTCGTCCCAGCTTCCACTACTGGACTCATCAGTAAGGCATTGTAGTGGAACCCTACTTTATACGCCTGAGAGAGTTATTCAATCGAGATTCTATATGAAGAGATATACGCGTATCAAAGCACTTGCGAGAATTTGCGAATATCGATAGACCTCTGATGGCGGGTCGACGTGGTAATATTCTTCGCAATATTTATCCAAAGTAATATATGTATTCCTCCCCCCCCCCCCAAATTTTTTATTCTTTTTATCTGTTACATCATTTTATTTACGGTATCTTGACATTCTCTCCTCATTTTTTTTTTCAACGAGTACAAAAGTTTTTCTTACGTTTTACAAAGCTGTTATAATCTCGCCAAGTTTTATTTTAATTGCATTTTGAAACTTACATTTTGATTCGTGACTTTTTTAGTTGGATTATCAAAGTGCAAATTTGAAAAGAAATAACCGAGAACTGTAATTTTTGTAGCCTTTTATAACTTTTATAACGTACTTTCATATGATTTTTGTGTGTAAAGTTTTATTAGGGTTTACACAATATTTATAACTAGCTCGTTTGCCACCATTGAAAAAAATAACGATGTCATTGAAATCAAATGTTACGCGGACGCTTATAGAATATTAATAAATCTCTTTAGACTTATACAAAATACTGGTTAATTCCCGGTGTTAGCATTAAATCCATAAATTCCCTCGTCGGATTACGAGGGTTCGGCCAGTCAGTCAAAAAAAAAAAAAAAAAAAGGAAGAAAAAGAAAAGAAAACTAGGATTCACTCTAGATAAAAAAATGGATCCGACGAGAGATCCGCTCATGTTGTATTTGCAGAATATCCGTGATCTTCCGAGTGAAATCGGCGAAGGCCGTAAAAATAACAGACGCGAGCCTGCTGAAACGACTCGGTATCATCGTCCTGACGTTCAGCGTGTTCCTGAGCATAAGGACATTGGTCGCACCGCCCGTTGTGATCGTTGCACGAACCGCCGACGATCTCAAAGCGTATCTCTGCCGAACTGACTGGTGGGACCACAGTTTTACCACTCGTGAGTACCGCCGTGGACAGCACGCGGCAGTGTGCTGTGCATAGGAAAGAGATATCGACTCGCTTAATCCTTCGCTATATGCTCAGTGCCTTCGATACCACGGACTTTTGTAATCGCAAGCTGTATCGTAAGCTCCAGTGAAATATGAGCACGTTGCAGGGCTCTACCGTGTGTATATATATATATATTTGTGTGTATATATACACATATATATATGGTATAGGAAGTAGGCGGCATTGGATTAACTTTGCTTTTATGGAATGATCGATTCTTCGCGTACACGTAAGAATGCCATCGAAAGTTAGAGAGTTTCTGATGAATTAAACTCCGGCAAGCTCGCTTTTCACCTCAAGCGCCTTCAGCGCCGCGCTCTCGAAAGCTTATTTACTGAAATATTTAATATAGAAAGTTGCGAGGCGAATTACGCTGGGATGGATGGCGCTCAAAATAAATAAGTCGGGATTCTCGTCCCGAATTCTCGCTGAAGAATCTTGTTTAACGGCGGGGTGGGCGGACGGGGGAGGG